CCCCACCACGCTGAAGGGCCGCGCCGCTCCTCCTGCCCGTCCCCCGCCTGGTTGTCCTGCCAAACCCCCACCTCCCAGGCCCGGGCACCCCCCCAGGCCCGGCATCCTGCCTGGTTTTGTTTCGACCGGTGCCGGCCCCGGAAAAGGTTGAAGAAGAAAGGCGATAAAAAAAAAAAAGCAAAGCAACATCGCGCCGTTTCGCCTCGGTACCAAATCCTCTATCCTGTTAAACTGGAAAACATTACCGACAGATTTAAGCCCGGGCAGATTGTTTCGTGTATGGATATTCGAGATAAACGCACATCCGCTGGGAAAACTAAACGTCTGTAAAATACTTCATTTAATTTTCATCGGGATTCCTCTCGCCCGGCTGCCGGGACTCCAAATGCCAGGGAGTAATTTGGAGGTGAGAACTCCACATCCCCCTGCCTTTGGAGGGGGAAGCGTTTAACATTAAATTCCATTAGCACCTAAATTGTTTCTTAAAGACATCCGCTCAGACACAATGCCTTCGGTGCGGGCATCTAATGCAAATACATTTCTCAAATTTTAAACCTTGTTAAAGCTCGTCTCGCACCTCGAATCCGGCTTCGCACTTGAGAAAAACAATAGGCCTCGGGATTTTTAGCCTTTCTCCGGGTAAATATTTAGAGTGGAAGTCGCTAAAATATTTGGCCGTCTTTTCTGCAATAGTCTGGCACAGCTCGGGCCGGCAGGAGCAGTAAATGAATAATAGATGAGGCGGGAGGACGCGTTTATTTTTGTTACCCTTCGGCTCCGGCGATTTTCCATCGGGATAAGCCTTGGGCTTCTTCGCCCCTCTTCCACCTGATTGGGGTGGAAGTTTCCGAGCCTCAAATCCTCTGTTCCCTATTACATAATTTAATAAACTGTTGCAACAGCACCCTTAAATCACCTCGAGTGAGACTTTAAAATAACTTTTTTTTTTTAAATGAGAAAATTTTATTGCCTTGCTCACACCATTTAAATTTAATGGAAAGCATTCACAGAAAGGGACGTTTTGTCACTTTCAGCGGGATTTTGGACTAATGACGGATTTTGCACGTATTTATATAGTTTCTCTCTCGATATCCATACATGAAAGCGATGCTCACAAGCGCTGAAGTTACATGCCAATACGTTGCGCACTGCAAATGTATAAAGTGTTTTATGTATAAATATACACACAAATATATACGTCTTCCCGTCTTTTAGCAGGTTGGCGAAATTTAGTTCGCGCTGTATTTCGCGTTTCTGCGGAAAGCCCCCGCCGAGCTTCGGCGACAATCTACATCGTTCAGCGCGCAAATTAACAGAAATCAGGAAAATATCCTTCCGAAATCTGGGAAGGGGACGGAGGGGGGCGGGAAGGAGAAACCAAAACAAACGCAGCCGTGTGATGGAGCAGGGAAAAAAAATATTAAATGCGATCCTTATTTTATCATTCTCATAATTTTAGATCTCTCTGTCCGAGTATATATCTGTTTAAATAGATATATATACACATATATAGACACGGGCAGGGGGGGTAAATCTGCCGAAATAAACCCGAATTACCTGTGTGCGTCCTTTTGTGAATTTTGAGGTTTTCTGATCTGGCGAAAACTTTTCCGCAGCCGGGAAAGGGACAGGGGAAGGGTTTCTCGCCCGTGTGCACTCGGATGTGATTGACCAGTTTGTATTTTGCTTTGAAGGGCTTGCCTTCCCGGGGACACTCCTCCCAGTAGCAGACATGGTTGCTCTGCTCGGGTCCCCCAACGTGCTCCACCGAGACGTGGGTGACCAACTCGTGCATGGTGCTGAAAGTTTTATTGCAACTTTTTTTGGGGTTGTTCAGCTGCTCAGGGTCGATCCACTTGCAGATGAGCTCTTGCTTGATGCACTGCTGCCGCATGTAGCGGAAAAAGGCACCTGGGTG